GACGAACAACATACCTCAAAACTAGCTTCATTGAACAGTCATTGAAAGAGATCAGAGTATTAAAGTACGTCAAACTTTTAAATTAATTTTCGTCGATTTTGAGTGGATTTTGTGAAAAATCAATCCTGAGAGAAGAAAGATGAATGAACGTTTTGATATCGATCTTGCTATGAAATAATACCGGTGACAGGTGATGGTTGGCTGAAAAGTGTAGTGTTAAAAAAGAAAATTGTTTAAAAGTTCAGTAACAAAATCGATACACCCCTAAAGTTTAGTGACTAAAGCTACATCGTTTTAGGCATCATAATAGACGCACCAAAACGACATCGTTTTAGTGTGACATGCCAGGTCAACAACCGTCAACCATGTTATAGTCTCGTTATTGACTTAACAACAGAGTGATATAATTGAATATAAAACTAAATTTCATTGTTATAATTGACAAAATTAAAAGATCAATGATATAAACGAGACAATGTAAAAAATTTAGTGGTGCCTAAAATAGTTCTCCATAATAAATACTAAATAATAGGAATCAGACATTAAATTGCCTATTAAATTAAGCCAAGGATAAGATTAACATCTAGCTGTCTTTGTAAACAATGTAACACTCCTATTCCTCCTAGATGTCTGGTCGAATAGAAAGTATCAATCGGAATATTAATTATGAATAAAATAAACGAAAACTACATCCACAAATGTATGGTTGGGTACTTACGGCTAATTTAAAACAATTAAATACTATGAAAGGCATTTGAGTAGTACTTATTTAATCTTAAAAGATGTATATTCCTTTGAAAAGTAAAAGTTATATATTTTATGAAGAGAAAATAATTTTAGTGATCGAAAATATCTTATAATATACGATTTTAACTAATTTTATTTGGATTTGTCAAAATGACCAATAAAATCGCAACGCGAACTCCAATTTTTCAACTCAGTTTCCAGATTCGCAACGCGATAGTCCAAAATCGCAACGCGATAGTGGAAATTCGCAACGCGATAGTCAAATTCGCAACGCGAAAGTCAAATTCGTAACGCAAAAGTCAAATTTGCACACAGAAGTCAAATTCGCAACTTAAATGTGTTCCAACTTCCAAATGTTAAATGTTAAATGTTTCAACTTAACATTAGAAACAAGTGTTGGTAATACTCAATCTCACATAGTATTGGAAACGCTATTGAGAATGAGTATTTAAGGCTTGGATTTCCCACTTCCTTGTTGAGTGAAAGAGAACAAGGGGGACTCTCGCGCACCGCCGCCGCCTTCCTTCTGTCCGGTCGAGGCCGTGGTCGTGGTAATACGTGTCTTTGACACGTCCGCGCGGATACTATCTTTTTAGAGAAAATTCTTAAGATTGCATTGCGAATTTCGACTACCGCGTTGCGAATCTTAAAATCACGTTGCGAATTTGACTTTCGTGTTGCGAATTTGGAACCTGGGTTGCGAAATTTGAATTCGCGTTGCAAATTTGTTGGTCATTTTGGCAAATCCAAAAAAAGTTGATTAAATTCGTGTATTATAAGGCATTTTTGATCACTGAGACTAGTTTCTCTTTTATAAAATAATTTAAGAATTATATTTAAACCAAAATTTGTTACACATTCAAATATCACCTTCTGAAATCGTCAATCATACTCTTGGAGATCGTCAGATTTTCAAAAGTCAAAACTTCTGATAGTATTAAATCTAAGATTTAACATCCATATTTATTTAATTCATTAGTCTACGAGTAGTCATAATTATCATATCTTAATATTATTAATTAAGGTCACTAAAAATATATCTCAACCACAACCCAAAAGATGATATTTTTCGGTTTCTTTATCTCCGCTGTCACCTTCCCTAATCTTTCTTTTTTCATTGACTCGTGCATTCTTTATTTTGTCTTCATGTCTATCAAATTCAGAGTAAAATCAGTCAATTATTGTCTCTACACCGACTGTGATTTCAGTCTAAATCAAAAGGATGGTCTATTGTCAAACACAATCCACTTATTTCCAACCAAAAGTCTAAAATGATTTCAATTCTCTAGTCTCATTTCATCTTCAAAGCCTACATTTTTTACTGCATTGGACAAGTGTGCAATTGGAGAATTTATCTGATAAAGAAAAGGAAACAAGATAGTTTTACACGCTTTATTTAACCCCTAATTTTGTCACCAAATTGTGGTATCCCATTAGAGACATAAATAATAATAATTTGATTATCAACTAATTGGGGTTGCTTGATCTAGGGAGTTGTCGTCTTTCTTTGAGGATTCTTCCTTGATAACGTTAGATTCAATCTTGATTAATTGGGCTGTATGTTGGATAAATTAATGTGAAAATTATTTTATGTTAGACTGATAAGATTTGAGCACATATACAATCTCGATGAAAACAATGTTGAAATGGGTAAGAGTTGTCAACAACTCAAGTTTAATTATCGTGAACTTAAAATTTTGGTAGGTTGAAAAATTTAACCAAACCCTGGCTTTCTCCCCAAAATCTGGACACCGCAGCAACAGGCAAGTGTTTTACACCTCACTTCGAAGAGTTGGTGGCTATTCTCCAATACCGTGACTAGTTTTTTCGTGATGTTTGCAATCTAATCGACGTTCTTTTGTAATGTATTTTAGAGTAAATTAAGTATTTAGTCCTAAACTATCAGTTTTGATTCGTTTTAGTATCTAAACTTTTAATTATTTTAAAATCATACCTAAATTTTAGTTTTTGTTTCATTTTTAGTACCAAAACTTAACTATTGAAAAAATTGAAAGTTTAGGTACCAAAACACGTTTAGTACCTAAACCATACTTAAATTTTGAAAAAAATATAAAAGTTTAGGTACTAAAACGGACCAAACTTGATAGTTTAGGTATTAATGTCGTTAAGTTTTTAACGACGGGATACTAAAATGAAACAAAAACTAAACGTCCGGTAATTTTGAAATAATTGAAAGTTTAGGCATTAAAATGAACCAAAACAGATATTTTAGGTACTAAATTTTTTAATTTACGCTATATTTTAAAATACAACTGTTTTCTTGGTGTTATCAATTCCAATTGTTTGCAAAAATTATAAGAAGAAAAAAAAGGAAGAAGAGATAAATTTTCAAGAGACAATGTTAACAATAAAATTTATTGAAGTTTGAAAGAATAAAAAAAATTGGAGATATAAACTTAAGAGGAGAGAGATTATTGGCATCGGAGAATTTTGAAGATTTTGATTTGTTGGTAGAAAAGAAGGTTGAGATGAAAAATTGGAAACCAAAAGGGATTGGGGAACATGTTACCATACCTTAAGCCTTTAGCCCATCATTTCCCCCATATCTCTTCGTTGGACTGCTTCAATCTAAAATTCCCTTTATCCCACTAAAATTCTATTAATGTATATAAATGTTGGCATCATCTTCCACTCAAAAGTTTATTTTTAATTAGTAAATTGGATGTCGGTGTGGATTGAACCATCTTTTGTCCCCTAAGCATTTCATTTGTTAAAGTGCACGAGAGATTATTTCAACAAGTGGGTTTGTGTGGATTAAAAGGGCCGTGCCTCTATAATCCTTTAGCTTATTTAGGATCGTCATTTCACCACAATACCCTCAGCCTCTTGCAATGCCCGAGAACCAAATGTAGTCAACCCTATACCCAAGTTCTGGGCCTTGTTATAGGGACTTGTCTTTGGGCCATTTAACTTAAGTGTCGCGTAACTAGGAATAGTCAAGTTATTAGACTTTGACTTGATTTGATCTTATAAAATTTTGGATTTTAATGGGTCTTATGGTGAGAAAAATAGGAATTTGAATGAATCAAAATTAAAATAATTTTTAAATAGAAACAGACTCGCAAATAATTTATAATGTTAAATTTCTTTTACCAACAGAGAGAGATAATCATCCAGACGATTACTTTCAATATATAAGAAATAGTCTAAGGGTCTAAATTAGAGATAGGTTAACAAAATGATCAAATAAATATCAACGGGTATTATTTAAAGAGAAAAAAAAACCAACCCTAACGTAATCAAATCCAACTGTGAAAAGACACCATGTATAACGACTTGATTAGAGTGAAGAAGCATTCCGAGACAAATGATGATGGTTTCCACTACTTGTGGTTCATTCCCACACCCTTTTTGATAATTATAGTGCCTTTAACAAGCAATGTGGATGAAGACATGCATTTATCTTGTTTTATGCGCGGCCTGGTCAAAATCATCACATGTTTTCAAAATTACTCGCCAACTCTCGTCTTTTTTTAACAAACATTGTGGCTGGGTCGATTGCTTTATCGCTCTCGAGCCGCCAAACTTACGCGGACCATCTATACAATTGGAGATTATCTTATATTATTTCTGGAGGATTTTGACAAAATGGCTGGTTGATAATTAGGTTAAGATTTTAACGGTGAAACATTTTAAATTAATCACAAATCCTCGTTATCATTTTAAACACGACATTTTTTAATTTAATAAATTGTTTGACTATTTAATTTTTATATATTACAAACTATATTTAAAACATATATATTTAAACTTTAAATAAATGTATGAATAATTTAAATTTTAAATATTAAAAAATAATCAAACTAATTTTAATGTGTCACGTCTTTTAACAACAATTAACAGTATAATGTTTATTTTACAATAAAATTTATTATTTATTTTATAACTATTACATAATACTAAAAAAATTATTTTAAGATAATTTAGCTGTATTTTTCAATTTTATCATAATATAATTTACACGATTTAGAAAAAAGAGAATAAAAATTTAAACTAAAAGTACGATCAGGGATAAACACATTGTTTTATATTAAAAGAGGTAAATTTATAAATTAGAAGAGACGATTTTATAAAATTTTAGAAAAAATAAAAATAAATTTTTAACATAATATATATATACGAATTTAAAAGTTTTTAAGGAAGACCATCCTCACCTAACTTCTCTAAATCCATTCCCGAGTACAGTAATGAAAATAATCGAATATAATTGATGGAGTAATATTATCTGTACATTTCCCCCTTCATCAATCAAATAAACCACAGAATTTACAGCAGTGATTTTTAATGAAAACCCACTTGTTCTTGTCTTCTTCACGAGTTCAATAGTCTCGGCCATTTTTGCTCTGCCTCCGTTCCGATTCGAACCCGGGACGACTCGGTGGATAACTCCCCGCCTTTCTCTGCCATCTCCAAGCATTCTCGGAACTATCAAATAATGGACTCAGTTCATAATGACCCCATCCTCACCAATTGCAAACAACTAAAAGAAATAGTAAACCCCCCACTATGAATTAGTAACCACCTCATCAACTCGACCGACTCACGTGTTTCAACAATGAGTGATAAACTGTTCACTCGAGCTAACTCAGAACTAGTAAAAAGCCCGGGTAAGAATCAGAGCCTTCCCCTTCTGTTTTTCTGAATTACCAGATTGTTTTGTCAGCGAACCCATGATGAAGCAACGGTCGAGATTCAGTCCACAAATGGCAGTGCCCTTTGAAGTCCTCGATGTTTACGAACCTACCGGAGTGACCCGAATCCGAACGGGAAATAAATCGGATCACTTCTTCGAAGACGGACTCGTCGCACGGGATCGACAATGGACCTTGGTTAGTGAAGCCGTACTCTTCTTCGGCTCGTATAAGGAGCTTCTTGAAGACGGGATGGTTCATGTACGTCAACCGCACCACGAATCTCTTGCAACTCGTCCCAACGTATACCGCCACGTGTCCAGCCGGTACATCGGACGGGATGCGAGCGGCCGACATGCGGGCCTTGTTCCTCCACCGCCGCAGCATTTGGCGAAGCCTCACAATATGGCGGACTTTGCAGCATTTTCCTAGCCCCGTCGACATTTTTCCGGAAAATTAAGAAATCGGAAAGAAAAAAATGAAGTCTTTGATTTGTTTGAGTTTCGATTTGAAAATAAACAATTAGAGCTTTCCGAGGGGAGGGACGACTGCTTAGGAGGGAGAATGGATATATAAAAAGAAGGACGGGAAAGTGCCCCTGAAGTTTGAGATAATTGCAACGCTACATTTGTTATACTGTTGATAAATCAATTTAAAAATCCTCAAAAATGTCTTTTTGGCAATTATCATACCATATGGCCCTTTATGATAGATAGATAATAAATAAATTTACAAAAAATGATAATTTTACATTTTTTTATATAATATATACTAAATTCATTTTAATATAATAGAGTTAAAATTCTATCAATAAATTTTTTAATAAGTTAATTAAAAAGGTGACTAATGAGATCGTATTAATAAAATCTGAAGCTTTAAGACATTGATGATTAAATTTAAGTCTCATTATACACATATCGATTTATTTCAAGTTAAATTCAAATAAATTTTAATTATTAATAAATTTAACATAAAATAGATATATTTATGCATCTTTTAGTGAAATTCTTGTTTAATTTGTTGAAAGTTAGAAATTCATTCCTTGACTTTTATAATTTGTTGCGAATGGTAAGCCAAATTTGACCCTCAAAATAATAAAACCGATAAATCAATTATTACATTTCATAATTTATTTAATAATTTGTTGGTTGAAATAATTATCTCTCCAATATAGTAGTTAAATGAAGCAACATTTGGACCCGAATAAATGAACTACTGCAATACAAAGAAGTTCGATAAACTCTCTAAAGAATTCAACTGCAGATCGCGATTTTAATTCATATATTTATTTTTTGGTTGTTCTTTTGGTTTTAAGGCTTCACCTTAATTAATTCTGATTGATCTGCGTCGCACATCGTAACTTGGTGGGTGAATCTCCTAACAGGGATTTACGTAATATTTAAGCGACCACTTTCATTTTGATACTAGCATGAAAGTATTTTTAAAATTTAATATAAATCTTAAAATTTAATGATCAAAATATAATTGTGTGAAAATTCGAAGAGCTTTTGGAAAACGCAGCACATGCAAAAGTAGATGAGTTTACAAGTGGTGGAGTCGATTGGAAGATGCTTTTGTTTTATGAGTCATATAAAAACGATTTTGCAAGCTCTATACCTGACTTTGCTCCCATGTGCGTGGATGCCCCATCTCTTTTTCTTTATTTTCCAAAATACAAAACTGCTAATTTTTTTTTATATAATTTTAAAATTTATTATAGCATCGTGTTGATAACACATATGCAGTGTTGTATTGTATAGTTTAAATAAATAATGAGATTTTAAATTTTGTGATTTTGAGCTTTTAATTAATATATAAGTATTTTAGATAAATCTTTTTTATTAGTATAGAGATGTGATATCATAAAAGTTAATTCATGTATAATTTAGATACCATAACGCTAATAAATAACCTACTAATTAACTTTAGTTATTGAAATCTAATTAACGTTAGATCACTTTAATATGGACAAACTCTTTTACGATAGTATCACCTACAATTGTATACTTATTATATTTGTCATGTCCAACATTATCGACAAAACTCATAATATTATAATGAACAAAACAATTAAACTAACTCAATTAATATCAACGTTACGACTTCAAAAATTAAATAATTAAAGTTTTATTTGTGTTTAACAATAATGAAATATGAACCTCATGCTGCTGGTGTTATGGAGGCGTATATCTTCATTTATAACATTCGATTAGCGGTTAACTTAGTCTATCCTCTTTTTATTATTGAAAGTTATTGTGTTAACGTTGTTTGACAGTTGGAGAATTATCACACCGATATTTTGGTATTTAAACTTTATCTCGTTAAAACTCGATTTTTGTTGGATGCTCAAAACCACACTCGCGTCCAATACATTTGGTACTCTGTCAATGATACCGTACAGGATCTTATATGTTATACCTCAACTACTTCAATACTGTAATATTTTGAATATGATTTAGCCGACTTATATTTCTAATATTATCATTAACAGTGTCATTTATGGCAGATGAAATCTATATATTTTTTATTAAAAAAGAAAACAAGTCACACATACACAGAAATTTAAATATATAAAGAAAGATCTCTAGCCTCTCATTTATCCCAATCACAATGAGGTTTGTAACATAGAAGATTATAAAAAAAAAAAAAAGGAAGAGAGAATCAATAATTTATATAGTATGCATTTGATGAAGGTGATTGGATTCATGGGTCCACGTGCATGTTATGTGAAGATAGGGTACATCCCCCCAAACGTCATAGTATGTATACGTTAAAACTAAAGAAACAACCTCACTTGCTACCATTCCAGGATCATATCATTTGTTTCCTTCCTTTTGCATTTTTCTTCCTATTTCTCCCCCAAATACATTTTGTAAATATGTATATTTTTAAAAGAAAAAAAATGGTGACATGTTTTAATGTCAATAAACAATAATTTTATAAATTCAATGATTTCTTTTGACAACAAGAAATTTAAAAATGGGCCAATAAGATTACATTATGTGATGAGAGGGAAAACCGTTGAGGAGTTGGATGCTACTTTATAGAAGAAATAAATATAATTATAAACTAATAGTTCAATATATATGTTTATTTCTATCTGATTCATATTCGTTTTATAAATATATTTATGATTAATAGTTACCTCTTCTAATAATATATTTTTATAACTCAAATTTAAATCTCTCATTCAAAATATAATATATATTATTATTATATTAAGTACTTATAAAGATATATTAGTATATAAGTATATACAAATATATATTATTTTTTATGAAAAAGAAAATAAAAGATGATGTCTAGGTTCTTAGTTGCTTAGTTGTACTGAAACGTGTCACGGACCTCACGGTCCGGACCACCCTCGCCCACGGCTTATTTAGGCTTTGGATCCCACAACCCCTAATTTTATTTTATTCTCAATAATTTATTTATGTCTTTCTTGCACAATTGGTGTAGTTTTGTTTTGCGAAAGTTTAATTTAATACTAAGTAAAAACGATTTTTTACTTAAAATGTCATCCTATTCAACCTAAAAATATATATAAATTTGTAATGTTTTCGGTTGTAACTGAAAAATTATATTACGTGGAGATTTAATACTTACAATTGAAAAAATTATATAAATGTGTACTAATATTTTCGATTGCAACAAAAAATATCATGAAAAATATATCATTTTCGATTTTAACCTAAAATGTAATTTTGTTCAACCTAACAAATTATACTATTGATTTTTTAGTTACAACCGAATTTAATCGTTTTTTTAAGCTTTATATGATCTAGTTATATTTTAGAATCTCCGTGCACGACTTATTGTCTTATCACCTCAATTTTGTTCAGACTAGGGTTCTGTGCGTGAGCATGTGAGAATGGAAATTACAACATCTTCTATTTATACATGTTTTCCAATGTAATTAATACAAACATACTTTCTAATGTACTTAATGTAAACATATTATTCGAATACAAAACTATAAGATAAAAATATAACATAATTTTTTGGTATAACATATAAATTATAAGCTATTTTAAATGACATGTAACTTGATCTAGCTGTGCTTAAAAGTATTGTAACATAACCATTGATTTCTATTTTCTTGACTGAATTATTAAAAAAAACGTGATAGTTAATGTGAATTTTTTGTATTAAAATGCATTTACTTTAATTGTTAATGAGACTTTGGCTTAGTAAGATTGAGGTCCTAAAACATTTGAAATTTTATAAGTGTTAGTATATGATTCATTGATTGATTATCTTAGATCGAATATTATTTTTAATTTTTTATATAATATAAAAATTTAAAATTTTAACTTTAGTTTAAAAATCTAATATTTTATCTCATTAGGCCAACGGATTATTGATTAAATTTAATAATTTTAATTAAATTAAACCCTAATATCTAATACCAATTATACCCCACGAATCCGGGTTAGTTTCCCATTGTTTAGCTGCCTTCAAATAAGGTATTCTCAATTCAAAATTCAACAATTATAATGGAAGGACAACTGTTATTTATTGATAATAAATATGTCTCTACATAATAGCATGACTTTACAATAATTAAAGAAGAGAAAGTGCACATGAATCTATCGTTTGATCAACACTAATTAAAAGAATAACCTTGATTTGTGGTGACCAACGGTGGAGTGGAAACGACAAAAACAGAATTAAAAAGCAAAGGAAAAAGCAGTTAGTTAATTACTTTATGGAAGGAATGAAGTGTGTTCTGTTTAGTTACAACACCTCCTGAATTGTACTAATCTCTGCGTGTTTTATTTAATCTGGGAATATGGAATCTCCTCCATATTTAATTAAGGGGGCAATTAGCTGGATTAAGGCCCACAGTTTTGGGGGTTTGAATAAATTAATTAAAGCGGGTATGGTATTAAAGTTAAAAAAAGTTCTTAGAATCTAATACCCGCTGAACATATATACTCTCTTGACACAGTCATTGGTTGGACCACGTAATTTATCCGAGTAAAATCTATTATATGAAAATTATATTTATGAATCTTATGGAAAATTCAGTCGTAGAACAACAATTACAAGAGCATTGCAGTCCAACACCAATCCTCGTTGAAATATTGCTTTCTATCATGGCGTGGAGTGAACAACGGCGGGTGCGTGCGAGGAGCGAACAACGACAGGTGCGTAAGAGGTTTGAGAGAGCAGATTTGTCGTCGTCGATCCACACTGTCTTTGTTAATAATGTGAGCAAGAGGATTCATCCGTCAACTCTAAAGGAAGCTTTCAGGTATATGGTGAAGTGTCTGATGTGTTCATAGCATTTAGAAGCAGAAGGAGACTTTACGATAAATCCACATTTGCGTTTGTGAGGTTCAAAAACAAGCAAGATGCCAGTGCAGCGGTTAGGAAGGCTGATGGGAGGTTGATGGACGGTTTCAGAATTAAAGTCTATCATGATAAATCCGTGATTTCAAAAAGCAATAGATCTGAATCGAATTCATTAAGTTTCAGATATGAGTCTGGCAAATCGGCGAAAGGGCAGTGGAAACCGGCTTTGCG